ATAATTGTCCTCCAATCGGAGGAATTATACAGTTTACTGAATTCCTCACTGAGCTGATTGGAGGATGCTTGAGGTTGTTACTTTGCTAGTATTTGATCAGAACGAGAAATAACCTTGGTTCTGTTTTGTGTAGTAAAATCAGTGTGTTGTAGTGGCAAAACGAAAGAATCAGAACGGAAAAAGTGTGTCAGCGAAATCCACGAACTGATGAAAGGAAAAGTGAAAGAATTGATCTTTGCGCATGACACATGTCGAGTTGTGGAATGCCTGTTCGCCTGCGCAGGGGCTGACATACGCACAGCACTGTTCGAGGAGCTCACACCAGAGATCGTTCGCATGGCAAAATCGAAATACGCGCGATTCTTTGTCACAAAAATGCTCAAACACGGGTACGCCCTAGTTCCAACCGAACATACTTTGTCACTTTGAGCAACTGCTGTTTTTTCATATTCGTCTCGTTGCCTTATTGTAGCTGGTAACTTCTCCATTCTTCGTTTTTTGAGCTTGCACTGTTTGTTTCTCAGAAACTTCCCACGGAGGCCTCCTGTTCCAGTATTCCCATAATCCACTCAGAATTACATGAGTGTCATCTTGCGGTCTGCTTTCTTCATATCTCTGATCTCTTACATCACGTAACCAGTTCAACTCTGTTTTTCGTGCACATTGTTTTAATAACTTTCTCAACAAAAACCTTCGGTTCCGAAGTTGTGCACTGGAGATTTGCGCATTGTAGCGGGAATTGTTCTGAATCCAGAAATAATGAGTTTTTTGGGATTGATTTTTTTTTTATCCCTTAACTGAGACTTTAGAGCTTATTGTTGACGGAACATTATGAGGGTTTTCGTTTAGGCCTAAAATTAGTTCTCAAGCATCACCATGCTATGACTTTTGCCCTCGAGCCCAGACTCAGGCAACTTCCTTTTAGATATTTCTGCATTTTGACTTTTACCAACCGTTTTGCATTTTCGCAACCATTGAGGGCTCAGCTGTTCACTGTTTTCTTTGCTATTGCTATGCATATTGTGTCTGTTTAAGGACTCCTGCTCAGCGTCAAATTATATTTAATGCATTTTGCGGGCACTGTGTTTCGCTGCTGAGGATTGCACCCGCATCAGCGATCCTGGAAGCGGCATACAACGACTATGCAAACGCATTGCAACGCTTCAATATTATCATAGAGTTCTATGGCGCCGATTTTCCTCTTTTTAAGGTTAGCAATCCCCCTAAAATTGAGGAGAAATTTTGTTTGTTGACAAGGTTTGTATTTTAGCTTGAAAAATTGATGCCTTGAATAGTTTGTGGAAGTGCTGTGCTTTCAGACGGCTGACAACAAAATACGAAGTTTGGAGGAACTGATAGCTGAAGAACCGAGCAGAAAGGCATCAATAATCAAATATCTCGAACAGACGCTCACTGACATTGTGGAT